GGGGAGGCCACGTGACCAAACAGTACAATGACCCGCAGGATGCAGTTACCGGCAAGTTTTGCAATGCACGCTCCTTCAATCTAGTTGTCCCATGTCTAGGATTGTACGTACTGAAACCTATCTAAATGCCTACAAATAGAAAACTATTTGGGAAAAAAAAGTCAGCACACCCATACATTTATTATCATACATCTGCACAAAGGAATGAGGGAAATCTCTACGAACTGAAAAGCAACATCTATAATCTATTGTGAAGCGGAAACAGTAGCACATGAAGGACACAGAGCTGATGGGAGACAGACACGTTGCGGTGAACAGAAAGCCTACAGCTCCGTGTGGACGCACCCGCACAGTGCAAAGTCACTCTCTCTTCTCCCACCATCACGGCTGAGCCCAGCTCTGCCAACATGCCAATGCTCTGAACTATGCTCACATAAATACAGCCAAGTTCTCTTTTCTTCAACGTCTGTTTATTTTTGACTTATTTGAAAGGCAGAGTGGCAGTGAGAGGGAGACAGATTTCATTAACTGGCTCGTCCCAACATGCCAACACAGCTGGGGTTGGACCAGGAATTCCAGCGGGGTCTCCCACATGGCAGGGACTCAAGTGCCTGAGCCATCATCTGCTGCCTCCCAGGGCGCACAACACTGGGTCGGCAGTGGAGGCAGGACTCAGTCTGTGACACTCTGATATGGAAAGCAGGCATTGCAAGTGGCAGGTTCACCCTCAGAGCCACAAGGCCTGGCCCTAGTTGACCGCCATGAACATAACAAAGCTAACATTGACATGGTGCCATCAAATGATGCTGGACTAACAGGGGCATCCTTGTGCAGAAGATGATTCTAGACACAGATCTAACGCACACCACAAAAAATTAACTCAAAGTGGGTAAGAGATACAGAGAAAAACTGGATGACCTTGAGTTTGTGGTGATTTTTTTAAAGATGCAGCATCAAAACAATAACCCATGAAACAAATGACAAACTGGGCTTCACTAAAAATTTCTGCTTTATGGAAGACATTGTCCAGGGCTGTGCTGTGACTTAGCACATTAATCCCATGTAAAGGCTGGTTCAAGTCCCAGCTGCTTTACTTCTGCCCCAGCTCCCCATTAATGCACCTGGGAAAACAGAGAGATGAACTGAGCACTCGGGCCTCCGTGACCCGTGCAGGAGACACAGATGGAATTCCAGGCTCCATCTGGAACCTGGTCCAGCCCCAACTGTCACATCCCTTTGGGGGAGAACCAGCAGATGGAAAATTTCCTTTTCTCTGTCTTTCTGCCTTAAAAACAAAAACAAAAACACCAAATATAAGAGCAGATGCTTCACCAAACAAGACTTGAAAAGTTGCTCTCCATCACATCTCAGAACAACAAGCAGGTACAACCACACATGTATCCAAGCGGACCCAACACACCGATGGCCTCCAAAGCAGCAGGGGATGCGATGCACAGAAATTCTCCTTCAGTGGAGCTAGGAAGGAAGGCAAGGACAGCGCACGGACAGCTTGGAGACTTCTTTTTTAAAAAAAGCAAGCTCAACATTCACTATTTTTTTAAAAGATTTATTTATTTTTATTGCAAATTCATATACAGAAAGGAGAGACAGAGAGGAAGATCTTCTGTCTGATGATTCACTCCCAAAGTGGCTGCAACAGCCAGAGCTAATGTGATCTGAAGCCAGGAGCCCAGAGCCTCTTCTGGGTCTCCTACACTGGTGCAGGGTCCCAAGGCTTTGGGCCGTCCTTCACTGCTTTCTCAGGCCACCAGCAGGGAGCTGGATGGGAAGTGGGGCCACCGGGATTAGAACTGGTGCCCATATGGGATCCTGGTGCATGCCAGGCGAGGACTTTTGTCGCTAGACCACACACTGGGCCTAGCTTGGAGACTTCTTACACAACCAACTACTCTCATACGACCGGCATCCACACAGTGGACACTACAACCAAGGGAAGTGAAAATGTAGGTCCTTACACACAGATGATTACAGCAACTCTATTATTCATGATTGGAAAAATGTGAAAGCAACCAAGATGTCTTTCAGTAGGTGAATGGATACAAAAACTGGATTATTCACAAAATGGAGTTTTATTCAGTGCCGAGAAGAGTTGAGCTCTCAAGCCATGGAAAGACACAGGGCAACGTGGTATTACTAGGTGACAGCAGCTGGTCAGAAAAGGCCACCTGCTGCACGACCCCAGCAATGACGTTCTGGAAAAGGCAATGCTCTGGGCGTGGCAAACAGATCCACGGCTGGCATGAGCTGCGGGAGGGCAGGACGCACAGGCGGAGCACAGTCCCGGGCAGCGACACCTCTCCGAAAGACGCTACGTGGCGGATGCACACCATTGCACACGTGTGCAAACTAGAACATGCGCCATCAGCAGGGAGCCCTGCTGTGCACAGTGGGCTGTGCCTGCTAGTGCTGTGCCAACGTCAAGTTGATCGCCTATGATACAAGTTTGCTCCAGCGACAGCACAAGTTAAAACACCCTTTGGCGGAATATCAATATGAACCAAGAATGTAAATACTCATCTCTCTCCTTCCAGAAATTTAACTTCTAGAAATTAACACCTGGAAGTAATTTTTTAAAATAAACATGATTTTGTGTAAGAAATACTAACACTAATTAAAAAAAAAAAACTTATCCTCGGTGAACGGTGCCAGCAGCCACACACACACAGTGACGCAGGCTGGGAGCCTGGGGTAAACCCGACTCCGGCTTCTTCACCCCCGACAGCTGCATGCCTGGCCTGCCGTTTCTCCTGCACATGCCTCTCTCCAGTCGGTCCTGCTTCTCCCTTCTCACCAACACCAGCTCCCACCTGTACTGCCCCGGTCACCCGTGGGCCATCTCCATGAAGATTTCTCTCCCATAGAGCGGTCCTTCGAGGCCGGTGGTCAAGTTCAGGCTCCCTGCTAAAAAAACCTTTCAGGCTACGACGAGGAGGCTTACACTCCTTAATGTGACTCTGCAGACTGCACCCAAGGGCGCCCACCTACTCCTGTCTTCCAAGCTCATGAACTTCTTGTAGTTCTCTCCCTCAGACCTTCCCTATGCACTCCATCTCTCAGATGTTTCCGGAACTTTCTGAAACTGGGCTCTGAATTTATTTGCTTCATCACATCTCATTTGCTACACAAGCTGAGTCCTGTCATCACCGCCCCCAAATTCCTCTTGACGAAGTAACCAATGAATGGAAAGTGAAAGATGAATAATGCGAAAAGGAGAGACAGAGTACGAAGGCCATCTACACAGGCGCTGTGCCCTCCACAAGCAGGGACTTCCCTCCAGAACTCCACGCCTCCTGACAGCGGGCAGACTCTGCCCTGCTCACTTGCCCCACCGGCCACCAAGCTCCACAGCTTCTGAATTCGGCCTCCGAAGAAGCAACTCTCAAATCCACCTGCTTCTCTTCTCTACTGCTTTCATCCTGACACAAGTACTGTCATCTTCAGTAGTCTCCTAACTGGTGTTCCTCTTTGCACTCTTGGTACAATCTTCCCAATGCGTGTGTGTGTGTGTGTGTGTGCACACGTGTGCACACACAGAGAATAATCTTTCTGAAAAGCACAGGTTTTGAGGCTCCGGTTCTACCATCTATTGGATGTCTGCCTAGGCAAATCACTCAAAATTTTCAATCTTTGATTTTTTTAAATCTACAATCTGGAAATAATAACATATCACAGAGCAATAATGGTGATCAAAAAAAAAAAGAATTCAGATAAAGTGAGAGGATGGGCACTCCAGCTGACTGTGAGTGGGAGATTAGCAGACAGATTTAAGAGAAACAGCAATAAGGGAATCTCAACAGCATGTGATTATATCTCACTTCAAATAACAAGCTTGGCTTAGACTACATTTTACAACTTAAATGTGAAAAAAATTCTTAGAAAAAAAACATTTAAGCCCTTTTCATAGATGATAAGATAATCATCAAACCCACTGTACAGGTAAAAAATTTTAAACATTTATTTATTCATTTGAAAGGCAGAGTTAGAGAGAGGGAGAGACAGAGAAAGAGATCCTTTTACCTTCTGATTTGTCCCCCAGATGACTACAAAAGCCGGGCTGCGTTGGGCAGAGGCCAGGAACCCGAAGCGTCACTCGGGGCTCCCATGCCGGGAGCAGGCACCCCAGCACTTGGGCCATCTTCCGCTGCTTTTCTTATGCCATTTTCAGGGAGTTGGAAAGGAAGTGGGAAGAGCCGGGACATGAACCAGTGTCCATGCGGGATGCTGGCTTTATGTGCTATGCCACAACGCCAGCCCCTGCGCAGGTTAATTCTAGATGTCAGCTTGGCTGAGCTGTGGTGGCTTGATCAAACACCAGTCTATGTGTTGCTGTGAATGTTGTAGTTGTGATGAACACTTACAATCATCTGACTTCAAGTAGAGGAGATGACCCTCAAAAATAGGACTTGAGGCTTCCAAGAGTTCCTGCTTTAAGAAGTAACGGAAATGCTGCCTGGGAGCCCAGCTTCCCACTCAGCCTGCCCCACAGACCTTGGATTGGCCAGCCCCCAACTGGATGAGTCAATTACTTAGCATACAACTCTGTCTCTTATGTACATATGTCCTATTGATTCTATTTGTCTGAGAACGACGCACGGACACAGCCACTGAGAAGTAAGACCAGAGCAAAGCAGAGCTGTAGCTAAGAGTGGCTTCAGATTTTCTAGCCTAGTAAAACAGATCCTCATCAGGCATAACTTTGTTCTAACTAAACATGGAAGGACAGAGACTCCCTGGGAAACGATAGCCAAGTTGAGCGTATAATATGCATCTCGGACTGTTTGCAGAGTGCATACCCGTTAACAGGGGACCAGGGTCCTGCACTCACTCACCCTCTGGCCATTTAGTAACAAAATCTTTGTTGGATGTCCGCTCCGGGCAGGCGTTCCACTGATGCAGAGCAAACCACGAAGCCAGGCGCGTTCTGAGTTCAGGCCCCTACGCATCTGGTCTGGCATTGGCAGCGGTATGTGGCAACTCACCTGTAAGAGATGGCTGATGGCCGCCTCGTGAAGCCCCAGGGCTTGCTCCACACCAGCTAGTTCCCTCAGCAAGGGCACACACTCGAGACTTTTTTCACCTTTGCTGCTCTCAGTATATCCCAAAGCCTCTTGGTAGTGGAGCAAAGCTTCTTTTAACTTCTTTTGACCTTGATATACCCTAAAAAAAATATCAAAGCATTCATTTTGAAATTAATTAAAATAAAAAACTAATAAAAATACAGGTGTCCTAGTGGAAAACTACACAGAAAAGAAGCACAGGGACAGGAACCAGTTGCAAATGCTGCAGGAAGAACACGGCCGCTTACAAGGCTGGGACAGGAAGAAAGCGTCTCTCACACCTTACAAAGAAAAACTAGGAAAACAATGTCCTGGGTGAATTAAAGGCCTAAATTTAAAAAGCAAAACTCTAATGTCTAACTCGAAAAGGGGTTCTTATATAAAATACAAAAAGGACAAATCAGAACCAAAAAGAGAGATAAATTTGGTTATACCCAAGAGCCAGAACTGTGGCACAGCACATTAAGCTCCTGCTTGCAATGTCAGTATATATAACTGAGCTCTGGTTCTGGGGCCTGGCTGTTCCAGTCCCTATCCAGCTCGTTGCTGTCATGCCTGAGAAAGCAGCTCCAAAATGCCCTCGTTCTTGGGCCCCTGCCATCCATGCAGGAGATGTGGTGCAGCTCTCGGCTCCTGACTTTGACCCTGCCTACTCTTGTAGTTGTGGGCAGTTGTAAACCAGAAGAAGGAAGATCTCGCTCCTCTCTCTCTGGCAATGTGTAAACAATCAAGTACGTGCAAATGCACAGACACTGAAAAAGGACCCAATGTGCCTGATCGGAGTGCCAGGGTGGATGCCTACCTGGTGCTCCTGAGCCTAACGCCTGTTTACACAGACCCCGGGGGGAAATGATGACGGTCCCGGTCGTTGGCATCCCACCACCTTTGTGGGAGACTCAGAGTGAGCTCCTGGCCCCCAGCTTCAGCTTGGGCCTGCCCATGTTATTGCAGGCCATCCGGGGAGCGAGCCAATAGCTGGGGGCCCGCCCTTCCTCTCTCTCTCTCTCTCTCTCTCCCATTATTAAATAAAAAATAAACAGGAAAAAATTAAAAAGAAAGTGAAAAGACAAACTATGCATTGGGAGTAGAGTACACACAATTTAGGTAATCAACAATATAATGCACTCCCAGAAATACAAAGAATATCTCACAATTTAACACTTAAAGTCCAATAGAAAATGAACAAAAGATGTGAACAGATAAGTTATAGAACAGAAATGTTCCAATTGTCTAAGAAACACCTGAAACAACGTGCATCCTCACTGTCAAGAAGACATCTTTTAAAGACATCCTGAGATACGATTGTGTACTCCTGTGAAGCAAGGATCAGAAGCCGGAGCCGACTGAATGTTGGCAAGGATGTGAAGTGAGGGGATTCGCGCAGCCTTCTAGGGGCAGGGGCACCTGGCCGAGAGCACGCGGTTCTGCCCCCAGGAAGGTACCATTCTAGGGATGACCTTGCTGGATGAACACAACCGTGCAGGAAGCTCACGTGGGAGCGGGGTGGGGGCATCAGACAGGAAACCCACTAGATGAAGGTCTGCAAGGAAGAGACCAGGGCTGCAGATGCCAACTGAGAGCAGCTGAAATGTACAAAAGCAAGCTGCAGAAGGGAACACGCGTGCCAAGCTTAAAACGTGAAAAATAAGCTACCTTTAGAGTTACACACATCTGCAGTAAGGGGTACAAAAAAGCATTTGGAGGAATTAAAAATTACCCAAATCTTCGGAGTGTCTGTGCGTAACACCGGGGAAGAGAACCGGACAGGGAAGCTGGCCTGGCAGGTTTGCCCACACTGGAAATCTTTCACTTGGTGAGCATGGCACACACAGGTTATGGCATCATCATCATGGCTGTATGTGCACCTGCCTATGGGACTTTCTGGGGAAGGTGAACAAAGGCAATGCTTTGTGATGGAGCGTACACAAAGAAGGAAGCCTGCTGTGCCCCTCGAGGCCCTGGCATGGCTAGCGCCGTCACAGCCTCCAGGACGGACAGGCACGGAAACCCTCTAGGCTGTGCGGCCACAGAGAGTCTGCTGAGGCTCCGACAGGATGCTGCTCCGGAGCAAGAAGAGGCAAAGCAAACACTAACAGCATTTCAGCTTCACAATATAGTTAATAAGAAATTGTTTTGATAGACAGTACTAGATTAAAAAATGACTACATTACAGTTCTCTTTAGAAGCCTCAGTCAATTGTGGACAACCGTGTCTGTCCTCATTTCCTCTTATGTTATGGTTGGGAGGGCAAGACTTTCTCCTTTCTGTTTCCACCTGCCTGTGGCGGAAGATGCTCTGAGGATCCAGTACCTAGTGCGGCCATAACATATTTGATAGCTTTAGGAAACACCCGAGACAGATGAAAAAGATAAGGAATTTCGAACAACAGAATGCGGCGGTATGTTCATTTGGCAGGTCTACAGCTGAAACCATGGCATATTTTATTGAATGAAAATACATCCACAGTGATTCGACAGAGCCCATGACGAGGCACTGCTCGGCTCCGGAGAGCTTCAGCAGCTCTCAGGGGCGACGGCTTGCTTTCACGAGCAGTCTCCTCTGGTACTGAGGCTCAAGGGATGAGAATTTCCTCTGGAAAGCTCTACAGTTTGCTGAGAATATTGAGCACCAATAAAAAAAAAAAAAGAAAGGCTTAGTGGGAATGTCTCTGATGTTGGGATTCTGAGGGGGAAACCAGTCCTGAATGAAGCCACGTGGAGCTCTGAGTCGGGGGGGAGGACCTCCCTGCTGCCCGGGCACCGGGCATGCTTCCCACCCTGCCCTGGTGACTGTGTCAGTCCGCTGAGGGTGGCGGAAGGTTCCCGTGCTCTCCGTGGCTTCCTGTGAAAATGGGGACACTTAGAGCATGCACCTCCCAGGAGAACGAGGGGATAAAGGAAGGTGAAGTCGGGGGGACTCAGCAACAGCCTGACACTTAGGGGCTCAGCCTTTCTCAAGGTGACAGTTACTACTGCACACACACTATTGCATGACATAGATCACTCAGAGATACCGAATACCTGTCATAAAATACTGGTGAGGCAGATCATCATTTCAAACAATTATTACATTAACTCATTACTATTTGTTTAGGAAACATGCACATTTTAAGGCTACAGATTCAGGAAGCAAAAGAAAAAAAAATCAGATTTTACGTAAGAGAAAAGCATCTTGTCCATCACAGGATTACTGGATTAGGAAGGAGTATGTAAACAAACAAACAAACAAACAAATAAATGACTTTCTTCTCTTTTGAGAAAGCACAGAATATTCCAGGCTCAACACAGCTCATGGGTGGAGTTTTGGGAGTTGAGTGTTTGGGCCACTTCCAGGAGCAGGTGCAGGAGAAGCAGTACAGCCAGAGGCCAAAAGACACACGGAGAGAAACACAACTTGATGTCAAGGGAGAATAAAAAGAAAATGTAAACAGGGTGGGAAAAAAAGCTAAGTCCAGAAATAAAAGTTAGATGTGGGCTCACCAACCATGGTGGGTGGTGGCATCGGGGGGTGGGGCTAAACCTCTGCTTGTAATGCCAGCATCCCATATGGGAGCACTGGTTCCAGTCCTGACTGGAGCGCCAGGCTCCCAGTTTCAGCCTAGTCCAGACTGACCACTGCAGACAGTTTTGGGGGACACGCCATCTCAGTGGAGGCCTCACTGCCTCACTTCCCATGGTCTTTCCTGTTGTCGTCTGCTCCTTCCCAGAAGGGACAAGTCCAGTAAGGCTTCAAAATGCTTACTTGCATACGACTTTCCCTGATCCGAAGATGCAAATAGAAACAGTGGGATTTAGGGTTGCTTGGCCTTTATTGCTGAAGGAGAAATCTTCCCAGCCCCCTACCTCTTTGGAAACTTCAGACAGAATCACTTTCCCTTTCTGGTGATTCCAAGACAGGCAGCAAGACAAAACAGCATCAATCAAGCTGACAAACACACATAGAAAATTCTCTGATTTTAGATTAGATGGCAAATGAAGGCAAGGACACCAACACTCGGCTTTTCCAAGTCACAGGGGGAAATACTGCATGTGAGGGACAATCTTGAGGCACAAGACCTTCATCTGGTGGAATTAGTTGCATTCAATTCAGTTTGGGGATGAAATGACAGAAAAATGCTGAGCCAGAGAGTAACAATAACAGCAGCAGCTTCTATTTCTTCCTTTTTCTTTTCCTTCTTTTATATTTCTGAGAGATCGCCATATACCCAGTGCGTTCTTTTTTAGTTAAAAAAACAAAAAAGACTTCCAACACTGTGGCTCAGAAATGTAGCCACTGTTTACGGGATCAGCATCCCATATGGGCACTGGTTCCAGCTCCAGCTCCCTGCTAATGTGCCTTGGAAGACAACAGAAGACAGTCCCTGCCATGTGACAGACCCAGATGGAGTCCCAGGCCCCTGGCCTTGACCTGGCCCAGCCCCAGCCATCACTGCTGTTTGATCTGTAAAACAGTGAATGGAGAAAGACTGTAAAATCAATTGTCTTTTTATTTATTTCAAAGTCAGAACAACAATGAGAGAAGAAGGCAGTGAGAGAGGGAGGGGGAGCAACAGAGAGGGAGGGACAGAGGAAGGGAGGGGAGGGAAGAGGAGAGGAGAGGAGAGGAGAGGAGAGGAGAGGAGAGGGGAGGGGAGGGGAGGGGAGGGGAGGAGAGGGGAGGGGAGGAGAGGAGAGGAGAGGAGAGGGGAGGAGAGGGGAGGGGAGGGGAGGGGAGGAGAGGGGAGGAGAGGAGAGGAGAGGAGAGGAGAGGAGAGGAGAGGGGAGGAGAGGGGAGGGGAGGGGAGGAGAGGAGAGGAGAGGAGAGGGGAGGAGAGGGGAGGGGAGGGGAGGGGAGGAGAGGAGAGGAGAGGAGAGGAGAGAGGAGGAGACGGGAGGAGAGGAGAGGAGACGAGAGGAGAGGAGAAGAGAGGAGAGGAGAGGAGAGGAGAGGAGAGGAGAGGAGAGGAGAGGAGAGGAGAGGAGAGGAGAGGGGAGGAGAGGAGAGGAGAGGGGAGGGGAGGGGAGGGGAGGGGAGGAGAGGAGAGGAGAGGAGAGGAGAGGAGAGGAGAGGGGAGGGGAGGAGAGGAGAGGAGAGGGGAGGGGAGGGGAGGGGAGGAGAGAA